TACAGTTATTTGTTTACTGGCTAAAAACTCCCTCACAGACAGTGCTGTGTGAGCTGGTGCATTGTCGTGATGCAAGAGCCATGAATTGTTGGTGAAAAAAGTCGTCTAACTTTTTCACACAACCTTTTCAGCACTCCAAATAGTAAATTTGGTTAACTGTCTGTCCAGTTGGTATGAATTCATAATAAATAATCCCTCTGATATCAAAAAGGCTAGCAACATCATTGCAACAATTTCATGAACTTAATTGTCAGATCTCGTATGATGTCAGAGGGTAGTAGATTGTGGGAGGGGGATATCACTTTGTGAGGATTGTAAATGTCTAACTATTACATTGTTTTGTATACCTGAAACTAATATATAAATATATAAACATATAAATATATAAATAAATAAATAAGCAGTCTGGTCTAAAAGTTGCTACTCTTAAAACTAAGCTAAGTTGGGTGTCAGTGGAAAGAGGCAAGTAAATGAATGTAGGATTCAGAACAGCAAGTGAGCCCTGCATGGTGTGGAAATCAGAAGAAGGTGGCTTTTAGGAGGTGTCATGTAGGATAAGTAGGATTTTAATGGGTGAAGGTGGCAGAAGTCTAGTTAGAGGGGAAAGTATGTATAAAGGCCCTGTGGTGGTAACTCTGGGGTGGGGAGGGGTGAGTGGGTGCCTACTGAGGAAACAACTAAAGCATCTACTATATAGAGTGGTGAGAGTTAGGACTACAAAGGAGGTTGGAAACATAATATAGAAGGCTTTGAATTCCAGGTTGGGGAAATCAGTCTTGATTTCATAGGAAATAGTGATTCCACAAGAGGCATGGCATAAGCCAATGGATGATTTGTAAAGAACAAGCTGGTGGCAACCGCTGAGAGTGGATACATGGTGCTCAGTGGAGACTAGGAATAAAGGCCTGACCTAAGGCCAAGACACCTAAGATGAAGAGGAGGGGATGTATTTAAGAGCTGTTTAAGAAGTAGAATCAACAGAATTCAGTGACTAATTAGATGTGGAGACTGAGCAAGAGAGAGGAGTTATGGTGACTCCATTTAGGAGTCTGGCTGGCTGGTAATGCTGTTAACTGAAAAGTTGACTTTTTTGGCCCTGGCCTTATGAAAGATATGAGGTCATAGAGGGAAAATAACAGTGCCAAAGCATTTGAATAATACTGCCACCTTGCATTTCTATAGCTTTTTATAATTTTTCTAAATTAAAGTTTATTGGAGTGACAATGGTTAGTAAAGTTACATAGGTTTTAAATGTACAATTCTGTAATACTTTTACATCTACTATATACCACATTTTATAGCAAGATGGTATCCACTGGAGCACAGGATTGGTAAGAGGGAAGCTGAGTAAACATTACTAGCCCCATTTAGCAGGTGAGAGAATATGCTCAGGGCTGGGGCAGACTTATTCAGGTTCTCAAGGACTTGCCTGTTATACACTCTGGCTGCTCCCAGCACAGGCCTGCCCCAAGTCAGATTTTTTAACTTCCAGGTAAGTAGATTCTTTTTTCATAATGGCCTACTACTAAGCCCAGCCCAAGAGGTGGCATTGTAAAGACCCAACAAATGTTTGACCTTAAGGCTGGGCTGCTTTGAAAGTAGCCCTCAAGGTGGGAACCCCAAGGAAAGCATTTGGTAAGTCTTCTATTTATACCTTGTATACAGATACAGCTCACTCACCTACACAAAAAGCTGATGGAAACTCATAAAAGCCCGGCCTTGGCACCAAGCACCAGACACTGTTATGTCCTTTCCACTCACATGTTTGGTCCCACTGTTCCTTATTTTCCTCCTCCTTTTGCACCTGGACTTCTAATGCCCACTTTAGGGTCCTCATTTGAATAATGTTTTTAATTCTGATTATTTAATCCTCAGACCTTAGCCTGCTCTTCCAGGTACAGCTGCTCCAGGTATCCTAGATCCAGGCACTTCTAATTTCTGAACAAACACTTATTACCCATTTTCCTGGAAGTCTCCATTCCCATCTTCCCTTGGGGTGGGATATTGGACCTTGAGCCTGGATGCTGACAGCGCTGGCTCTTCTGGGACCCTCAGGTCCAGCCACAATAGGCACTCACAGTGCTCAGTGGGAGAAGCATGAGGGGCCCATATTCTTACTTTCCCAACTACTGAGGCCTCCACAGAGAGTGACTAGGTTGACTGGATTATCTCCCACTACTGGGTCCACACCTACCAAGCATCCAAAATGAGGCTATGTGTGCCAAGGATACAAGCCACAATGACAGTTAAGATTGTCCACCATCTGGACAGGGCCTGCATAGGCCAGGCACTTGACAGAGAGACTATACACACATCATTGTCAATCCCCACAAGGTACATGTCATATCTTCCATTTTATAGATGAAGATGCTGAGGCCTAGAAAAGGTCTTGCTTATCCAAGGTCACATAGCTGGTAGGTCATGGAGCCAAGAATAAGACCCGGGTCTGTTTGACTCTAAAACTCATAATATCACTTAACCTCTTACAGGTTTCCGGGAGTAATGACAAAGGGCCTAGGTGAATTTATCTAAATTAAGCATACTTAACATATTAAAATGAATGGAATTATCTGCTCTGTGGTGATCACTTTTTAAACTTTGTTCATTATTTTATTTCTAAAAGAATGCAACATTAAAAAGATATTAGAGAACATCAAGTAAAGGGGTATGGCCCCATACCCCTCTGCCTGGTTTAGCCCATCCTTGAGAGATTGTGTCTTGTTCTGGGACTCACATTTGAAGAGGGATACAAATACTAGAGTGTGTCCAGGAGGGCATGAGATGGCTGGGGAGGGGGATGATACCCAGGCCACATGAGGAAAGGTTGGAAGGACCTGGAGCTGTTTAGAGACAATGCTGGGTGACATGAGTCAGATCATGTTATTCTCTGCTCCCATCTAATTCAGGAGAAGAGCCAAGGTCTTTACAATGGTCTACAAGGCCCCTTACAATCTCCCCCACTCCAACATTACCTCTGTGACCTCATCTGCTTTCACTGTCCCCTCCCTCCACTTCAGCCCCACTAGACTCCTGGTTGTTCCTGGTATACATTGTCTGCTCTTGCCTCAGTGCTTTAGCTCCTCTCTCAAATATGACCTTCTCGGTGAGTCCACTCTTGGCCTCTCTATTTTATTTATTTATTATTATTTTTTTTTAGCTGAGCCATCCCGCCACCTGTTGGCAGCTCATGGCTGCTCAGCTCGGGCTGGACTCAAACCGCTGTTGCTCAGAGCTCAAACTCTTGAGCGAGCTCTTAACCAACTGAGCCACTCAGACGGCCCATGGCCTCTCTATTTTAAATTGCAACCCTGTGTCTCTTCTTCCCTACTGTATTTTTCCCCATTGTACCAATCACTATCTGACATACTACAAGGCCTGACAATTAAGTTCGTGAACTTGTTGAACCGATGCTGCTAACCTTTTTTGACATCAGAGGGATTATTCATTATGAATTTGTACAAACAGAACAGTTAACCAAGTTTACTACTTGGAAGTGCTGAAAAGGCTGTGTGAAAAAGTTAGACGACCTCAACTTTTTGTCAACAATTCATGGCTCTTGCATCACGACAATGCACCAGCTCACACGCACTGTCTGTGAGGCAATTTTTAGCCAGTAAACAAGTGTATTGGAACACCCTCCCTACTCACCTGATATGGCCCCCAATGACTTCTTCCTTTACCCAAAGATAAAGGAAATATTGAAAGTAAGACATGTTGATGACATTCAGGATGTCAAGGGTAATATGATGACAGCTGTGATGGCCATTCTAGAAAAAGAGTTCCAAAATTGTTTTGAAGGGTGGATTGGGCACTGGCATTGGTGTATAGCTTCCCAAGGGGAGTATTTCAAAGGTGACTGTAGTGATATTCAGCAATGAAGTATGTAGTACTTTTTCTAGGATGAGTTCACAAACTTAATTGTCAGACCTCGATAATTTTTGTGTATTTATTTTGGTTATTATCTGTCCCCCCACCCTCCCCTCTAAAAAAGTAAACCCCATGAGGGCAGAAATTTTTTTCTCTCTCTTGTTCACTGCTGCATCACCAGCACCTAGGACAGAACCTGGCATATAATAGGTACCCAACGTTTCTTGAACCAAAGGACATTATCTTTGCCTTCAGATCTGGTAAGGCTATTACAGGGCAAAGAGAGCACACAAGATCCATGTGGCTCTGAGGGACTAAGCTTGGTTGATTCCAGATCAATATAAGAAGGGACATCTTAGACATTAAAACTGCTCCAATAATCTATGCCAGTGGAGGTGAGCAGGAATGGGACAGATGGTATAGGGGTCATTTAAGCATCAAAAGGGGAAGGGTCTGGAAAGGACTTAAGCTTGAGATTCTATGTTCTCCAAACCCCTCATTTATAGGTGAAGAAACTGAGGGTCTGAGAAATCACCCAAGTTTCCATCAGTTGCAGGCAGGGCAGGGACTAAAATCTTGGTGTCATGAATTCTCCGACAGTGAAATCATTTTTATTTTTAATAGATAGTATTTTGTGGTAGGGTAATTTCTGAAAATATTCATGTTTGTTCTCATCTGTTGTCCCTCTATGTCACCACCCTCAATTCCCCTGCTCCATGGAAGTAACCAAGCCCTTGATAGACCTGTTGCAAGAGATATTCCAAAGTGTAGAAATCAGGAACAGGCTAAAGCCACAAATTCTCCGATTCTTTTAAGAAAGCCTGAAACCCCCGCTGAGGACATATTATCATAAAAGAGAAGAGTCTTTGGAAATCCCAAAGTGAAAAAGGGAGATTCCTAACATTCCCAGTCCCATGTGGAAAGGGAGAGCTCCTGAGTTGGGCAGAAGGAATTCAAGCATTGTTTATGGCAGTGCTTCAAAGACAGCGAGGAGATGGCTCTACGGTGCCCAGAGGGAGGCAGAACCTAAGTCCCCAGGGATCTCAACTTCCCCTCCCACACTGGTGGCATGGAAAATGAGGGTGTCAGTGGTGACTGGAATAGACTAGAGATTAGCTGTTCTTGCCCTAATTTATGGATAAAACAATCATCCCCTGGAGGCCAGTGCAACTCTCAGGGGGCCCTCAGTCATAAATGACATGGAATATTTTGCTTTCCTGTTAGGATGGGGAGCTTGGACTGAGAACTCAGTTACTTTAAAGAAAACAAACAAGTACTATTTCTTGGTCACCCACATGAGTTGTGGACAGAGATTGGATGCCCATTTCATTTCTGAATCTTGAAGGACATAACATTACTTTTAATCACAGAATTTGTGACCAGGCAAAGAATTCAGTTCCTGTTGGTGATGGGTGCTCACAGGAGCCCTTGGGAAGCCTCATGAGGTGCTCCATGGGCTGGGAGAACCACGCAGAAAATGTGCTCTGGCATTCAAAGGGAGGAGTGGAAAAACAGGAGAGAAACTGAAGGAGCAGAGGAGAGTAGCCTTAAGAGCCCATCAGACAGCAATTATTCTCCCAGAGAATGAGACTTTTTCCCACTGTGGCTATTAAGTGATTTACAATTAAATAACTCTTCATGAGGCAGTGCTCCAATTGATGGTGAAGGTCTGAGTGGCAGGAGGCCCGTTTTCCAGGCATCTAAGTGCTCACATCTATTGACTCACTCTGCTATTCATCATCTTTCCCAGGCCACTTATTAGCAGGTTTAAGTGGGAGGGGGGTAGGGCCCACCTGGCTGGGAACAATTCTCAGAGAGCCAAGGCTGGATGTGGAAGTGGGGAAAGGGAGTCCCTCCCTGGGCTCACAAGGGCCTCTGACGCAGGCTCAGGTTTGGAGTTAGGAGGCTGGGCTGGGCCCAGTGGGATAACGAGGCAGAGCTTTAGGATGCTCTGACTTTGTGCCTGCTGCTGAGGGCATTACTGAGATTTACCTCTAGTACCCCTAATATACAGCTAACCAGCAGCTTCACTCAGGTTCAATGGTAAACGCAGGAGAGTGGAGTCCAGTGATCTGGCTGTGAACTTTAGCAAGTCTCTTAACCTAGCTGAGGTTCAGTTTACTCATATGAAAATGCAGGAAACGTCAATCTCATAGAGTTGAGATAAGGATTACACAAGATAATGTAGTTAAAGTGTCTAGTGCCTGCCACATATCAATGATAATATTCACTCGGTGTTTGGAAAACTATTAGCAATAATCTCTCTTCCATCATATTTTCCACCATAGCCTGCCCATTCTCTTTCCCACTCTAATGTGCAATCAATGTTCTATATTACCGTGAGCAAGTCATTCCACTTCTTCATGCCTCCGCAGCCTCATCTGTAATGTGGGGATAAAATCATCTACTTTGCCTACCTGCTTCAGGGGCCTTTTAGATGATAATGATGATGTAGAGTTTGCAGACTAGAAAGTGATACCCTCAGTTCACTTGCTGTTATTGGATAGGTCTTGCTTTCAGAAGCCATGCAGCCCAGCCTGTCTAGGAATTATCTAGAGAAAGAACACAATCAGTAGGGCCCAGAGCCTAGTCAGGATGGGGGGCAGTGGAGAGCTACCAGCTTGCCCATAGCATTCTCCAAAAGGCTTGTACAAAGGTTTCTTATCTGTTGGGTTTACATCTGCTGTAGCAGAAACTGGGGACAAAGGCAGCTAACTTGCTAGGCACAACCTCAGCCCTCAAGTGGACAAGCAATGGAGCTGATGACAAATGTGGTTTTCTTGAAGATCTATAGGAAGGTCTTAGAAGGTTCTCTCCACCAATGCCCCCCTCCAGTATTGTAAAGGACTCCCCAGGGGGGGCACAACAAAGGCAGCCATCATTCATAGTACAACCATTCTTACCACTCATCTTGTCCAGCAGGTCCAATGCATTAGCCATGTGGGGTACCACAAAAAAGAACTCCACCCCAGGCCAAATGAGTCAGAGTCAGGGTGGTGAGTGCTGCACCTAGGTAGTTGAAAAAGTCCCATGGGCCACTCTGAGGTAGCCCAATCTTCTGACTTGCATATGGAAACTAGTCAAGTCTACGCGGTCTGACAATTAAGTTTGCAAACTTGTTGCAACGATGTTGCTAACCTTTTTTGACATCAGAGGGATTACTCATTATGCAGCATTTTTTTTTTTTAGCTGAGCCATCCTGCTACCTGTTGGCAGCTCAGCGGCTGCTCAGCTCGGGCTGGACTCGAACCGCTGTTGCTCAGAGCTCAAACTC